AATTAAGGCCTTAGTGGACAAACAGGTTCTGGCTACCATGGACTCCATTGTTCCTCTTAGCACAGCTTGATCCATTTAGCAGTGTTTCAACAATCTATATACAGAAACTACTCGTATAGCCCCAGCATATTATTTATAATAATGTAAACCTGCTGTATTAAATCTGGATCAAGGATCCACAGGAACACTGGTTACCAGAACAGGCCGTCCTCTGCTACACAGAGTATTTTAATCTTTTGGGGGACAGTGTTACACCATAATCACAAACAGCATATTCCTTAGAAAAGTTTTTTTGTTTTTTTTAAAAACATATAAGACAAAGGACCGTTTGTGTATCAGAAGCACCCATGAGTTCCATAGAGCGTCTGATTCAAAGCAGTACAAATATACAAACAGTTTTAACAGTCACACCAGTTACCTTAGCAACAGCACCACGCGGCATGGTTACTAGGCCCAAACATACACGTACGCACATGCACAGGATCCTCACACGCTCAACAATATTACGACGTCGCACTCACGAAATTAAATCAAAAACCCACCAAAGACTATACACTTATAAATGTAACTATTATTCAAACCATACAATTATCCACACTTTTAATCCACATAAACTAACCGATCACATAACATTTCAACAATTTCGTCTCTACAGTCAGTGGTTACAGTACGGTTAGTAACTATTGTACAGTTTAGACAATTATGGTTTTAAAGTTACAATATCATGCAAGGTTAAACAGTAATTTTAGTATTTTTCACGTAAGATCAGTAGTTATGGTACAAGTCAGTGGTTATGGTACATGTCTGTGGTTATGGTACCGTGCGCTATTTTACACTATACACACAATTTACACGTCCGCTAAACGGCAGAGCTCAAACTTTCTAGCAGGACATACAATTCACCAATTACAACGTATTTAACAACATTTACAGCAAACCCATCTACGCTAATTGTCCAGTACCTCGAGAACTATCGAACTACTTACACCATGATTCGGTTCGTCTATGCTGCCCAAGCACCACATATAGCGAACTAGTGGGCGGAATTTACAACAGTACCCATTTAGTCTATCTACTCTATCAATAGTCTAGTGGCTGAATTTACAACAGAGCACACGTAGCCAAGATAGCTTGAGAGCTAGCAGGCGGAATGTACACCAGAATCTGCTTAGTCTCGCCGGCCTCCCCGACCTAGCGACCGAAATTTACACACCTAGACACGCTAGTCAAGACAGGACACCGTTGTTCGGCATAAACTATTTACACCAAGATTTAGCCTGACCCAAACCACCTATATTAGTTGGGCTGACTACAGAGCGTCTAATTTCCAGATAAGTGGTGTGCCTTGGCTTCTTCCTTCCAGAGGGAAGGGGCAGTCCAATAACCAGTTCCAAATATAAAACCTCTTGTGGGCTTACCGCTCTAACGGTATCAGTCTTACCTTAGTTCCTGGACCTGGGTTCACACTCATCGACGGGACACCCCGATACTCACTGCGTAGAAGCTGATGATCTCCTGGACAACAGGCCAGTGGCGCTGAGATGAAGGGAGGTTCACGCAGTAGAAGTCCAGGGGTGCAGCCGTGGAGAACGTTGGTAAAAAGTTTACTGTCTCGAATCTCTGCGGCAGCTTCCGTGCGATGAGGTTCCCGGACCCAATGCACTAAAATGTTACCGGAGGAATAACAGGAACAAACCGCAGAAGCCACACATAGAGATATGGACACAAGTCTTCAGGAAGTAACAGGTTTTTTATTTACACACCGATCGGGTCTCACACTGAACTTGTGTTCAAACGGTATGAGCCCAGAGCATAGTTTGCACAGGCTATTTATTAACAATAACTCCTCCCATTCATAGCTCCACTCACACATAGCCTTAGACCAATCAGTGAACAGGATATTCAGGATCACCTAATATGGGCAGACCGTATGACTCCTTTTAAGGACAAAGGAATGTGACTACAGTTGATGCACATGCTCAGTACATTGATGACAGTATCTTAGCTACATGTAACTAACTAACAGATACAACAAACACTTGTACTTGTATATGCCACATGGAGATTTCAAGCCTACAAAATTTTGAACCATGTTGAAATCCCATCACAAGTGAATAGCCCCCTCTATAGTATATATTTCTTAATTTCATATTCTCTTGTTTTGCTTGGTGTTTGATGTTGGGAATAGGTGCCAGATGTCATGATGCTGATGCCCAGTGTTAAAAGCAAAACTAATATCACAATGTCCACATTCAGCTAAAATATGGCCACTTTGTGTTGCGCCAACATTGCTTGTGTCTGTTAGTACAAAACAAGTAACTTGAAGCTGTGTGTGAGGAGTTAAACAAAGTAAACTATATGTATTGGAATCACATTTATAAATTATGTTCTTGCAGTACTTTTTGTGGCATGCATTATACGTTATATTATACTACTTCCTGCTGCAGTCCCATCCTCTCATGCATGCTTGGAGGAGAGAAGGACATGATTAATTCATTTTCTACTTTTTAATAGTGGTCTGGGAATGCATTTCACATTTGATTGACACAGTTTTATCAGCAGGTGTGGGGGACAATATAATCAATTATATCTAGTAGGTGGATGGTCCATTAATATGGTTGGGGTATTATAACAAACCTCATAAAGAATATATTAAATCCCTGCAACATTAATAGCACAACACTGAGCAAAATCCCTTTATTAACAGATTGTCTCCCACCCAGGTAAATAGAATGGAGGATAGGGAGGTACATGGTCTGGTTTGTAGCCTGTAACCTGTATGGGTTGTAGACTTACCAATGGCACAAAATTTGTTTACTGCAAATCGAGTTGTCTGAAATTTATCATTGAATCTAGAGATTTCCATTGAAAATTATGGTGTCAGTAATGCAGACATCTAGACTCTCCTTTGGAGTCTCCCACATTTTAATTGTGGTTCTTGGATGCTTGCGAATTCTATATAATATCCTTGTAATTTACTTTTTTTGAGAGCAAGTTAAATGGTAATGTCTAATCATTACAAATGACCAGTGAACTCTCTCTCTCTCAATATAAAAATCAATTACAGGGATACTACTGTGCAGCCTCCCCCTCAAGTTCTGTGTGGGAGCGCCGTGTGTCATGTGACTACCTGGTTCTCCGTCAAACAGCGCACCACAATATAAAAGCCTACCCAACAGTTACCGGACTCCAATCTGTGTGTATGCAGCTGATTGCTGCTTGTGCAGGAGCGAGACTAGGGGGAGATATGGATGGAGGGGGGTAAGAGATTATGGGGGAAGATATAAACAGAAAGATTGTGTGGGAGAAATTAGGGTAAGACATGGATGGAATAAAGGGGCAGAAAGACTGCTGATCCCATTGCCTCCCACTACAGCCTCTATCCCCCACTTACAGCCCTTATCTCCTACTACGGCCGTTAACCCCCCTTTTATACACAATGCCCAGGGCCGTCTTTAATATAGAATGGACCCAGGGCTGTCTTTAATATAGAATGGACCCTGGGCAAGCATTATCTTGGACCCCCTGGACCCTGTCCCCCATCTTCCACTCACTGGCATGCAATCACACCCTACACCCCACCGCAGTTACACCACTAAAGTAGAGAGGGCCCTGGTGCAAGAATGTTTTGTGCTTCTTATCGCAAGGGTAGCCAAAAGGTAGATCCCCATCTGTCGTGCAGCTCCAACAAAATGTTTACAGTTACATTTTCCCATGCATGCAGAGTTGAATGTACCACTGAGCAGTGTTTATGTCTTTGAATGTAAGCATGTGTTTTGTATGAAGTGTGTTAGTGTGAATGTAGGAGTATGTTTGTATGTGATATTGGTGTTTGAATGCAAACATACATTTATGAGTAGTGTTGATTTTTTAATGCAAGGGTGTGCTTATGTATAATTTTGGCGTTTAACACAGAGGTGTTTTTGTATGTATTGGTGATGTTTCAATGAATGAGTGTGCTTGTATAAAGTGTTGAAGATTGAATGTAGGGGTGTATTTGTGCATCATGTTAGTGTTTGAATGCTGAGATGTATGCACAGATACACATACACTGCCTCACAAACACACATGCAGATACACACTGACACACATGCAGATACAGATACACACACTCAGACAAACACACACAGATACACAAACTGACAACATACAGATACACAATGACAGCAAACAGATACTCAGACACATATGCTGACAGACATACTGACACATACACTGAGACATACTGACACACACAGACACATTCTGACACACACACTGACAGACATACTGACAGAGACACACAATGACAGACATACTGACACACACACACATGCTATATTTACATTTAACCACCCTCCAAGTTCTTACATTTTTCTATAGGGTGATTTCCCTGGGGTCCAGTGGCAGGCTGAGGAACTTGAGAGTCAGACTCTAGAACTCTGGCCTCCTCCTCACTGCCTTCCTCCTCCCATGCGGCTCTGATCCCTCTATGGGAGGCAGTTATGCACTGTGATGGAATTTCGGTGAAATGTAAATTTAGTAGGCCAAGATTTCCATGTGGCATATGTGTATGTTGTATCAGTTAGTTAGTTACATGTAGCTAAGATACTGTCATCAATATACTGAGCATGTGCAGGAATGCAGGAACTGAAATCACATTCCTTTCTCCTTTGTTTCGGATGAGCCATGTGGTCTGCCCAAATAAGGAAATCCAAATCCTGTCCACCGATTGGGTAAGGGTAGTGCGGGTGGAGCTATTAATGGGAGGAGTTATAGTTCTATAAAGAGCATGTACTCCATATGTTCAGCCCTCAGACCTGTTTTGGAACGTTAGTTCAACTGAGACCCGATCGGTATGTTAATAAAGACCTTTTACTTCCTGAAAAGCTGCATTCATCTCTCTTTGTCTGGCTTCTGCAAGTTTCCTTACAGCACAGCAGTCACTTCCTCCCAGCCGGCTGCCAAACAGGAAGGGGCCCTGTCGCACTATTTAAGCACCACAGCACCCGGTCGGGCCCCTGCTGACACATACCCACCGGGTGGCCCTTAGTGCATGGGCCACCTGAGGGGCCTCCTTCGTGTGCGGGCTGGTGCGGCTCTGTGCAGCCACACCGCCGGGTCCATGAGGATTGCTCAAATCTCGGGCAGCGAGGTCCACGGTGCAGCTGCTCTGGGCTGCCCCGTTTGCCCCGCGTTAAAGATGGCCCTGGCAATACCTCCACTACAGCCCATATTCGCTGACTACAGTCCTTACCCACCTAGTCCCTATCACCCACTACAACCCTCTACCAGTGCCCCTCCTGAAATTGGGGTGAGGGGGCACAGAAGCCGGTGAAGCCACCTCCCTGAAATGTGTTTATGCATATTGAGATGTCTGCTGATGCTTATTTTCTTAATAAATAACTCAAAAGTGATTTAATGTCATACATAAATATAACACATTTATATAATATTCCTAAAGACTTTTATAACGGCTGCCTTGATTTCTTGGTTTCTCAGACTGTATATTACTGGATTTAACAAAGGAGTCACAACTGTGTACATAAGGGATACAATCTTATTAATTCCAGATGAATGTTCTCCTGATGGAAATACATAAATGGCAATAAGAGTCCCGTAATATGTGCAAACAACAGCAAGATGGGAGCTGCATGTGGAGAAGGCTTTCTGTCTCCCAGTGGTGGGTGATATTCTACGTATAGCGAGAAAGATACAAACATACGTAGAAATGATAAACACAGTTTCAATTACAGTTTCTGGAAAAGCGATTAAAATTAAAACAGTCTGTAAAACTGTAGTATCAGAGCATGAAAGTTGAACAAGAGGAACTAAATCACAGAAGAAATGATCAATATACTTTGAATTACAAAAAGTTAAATTACTTAATAAGATAGAAAAAATCAGTGTGAGAAGAAAACCCAATATCCAAGACAAGACCCCGAGACTGAGACAAAATTGGAAATTCATTATCGTTACATAATGCAATGGTTTACAGACAGCCACATATCTATCATAGGACATCATGGTGAGAAGAAGACATTCTGTAACTGATGGGAAACAGAAGAAATTGAACTGAGCAATGCATTGACTAACTGACATGGAAATACCATTTTTTAGGGTGATATGAAGCAAGTTAGGAATAATTGATGTAGAGAGAATGATGTCACAGGAAGACAACTGGCTGAGGAAGAAATACATTGGAGAACGAAGATATTGAGTCGCTAAAACCAGAATTATTATCAGAAGGTTTCCAGTTAAAGTCATAATGTAGATCAAAGGAAGTGAAGAGATGAAAATTATTCTGGATACGTGCAGAAGCTGGAACCCCGAGAGGAAAAGCTCTGGAATAGTTGATTGGTTATGTGTTGGATTCATCTGATGAAGGACATCATCATTAGATACCAAAATAGTATTTCTTTATATAGATTAAATCGGAAAATGATACTATACAAGAGTAATAAATTATAAATAGTTTGCTGATTTAGAGTTGTACTTATAAGTTATTGCAATTTAATATAATTGCAATGTATTACTTAGACTGCATTGCTTTGTTGAAGGGACACTATAGGCACAAAGATCACTTCATCTCTGTAGTAACCCTGCGGTGTAAAACATCGTAGTGATATAATATATCCAAAGACAAATTGTCTCAACTCCTGCAATCATTTAACTAGTGTAAATAAAAAAATCCTCCATACCATACATATCTATACAGATAAGATAACCATGTTTACAGTACCCTCCAATATTGACACTCTTGGTAAACATTATCAAAGACGACTGTGATAAATTGTCTTTTTTGTTTAACTTTTTTATCTTTTGTTCAAAAATACACAAGAATATTCTTCTTTTGTGGGCATCATACAATTGCAAACACAAAATAGGTTTTGCGAAAAAAACACTGTTAAATATATATACAACACAGTTATTGGCACCTCTATAAATTGAGAAAGATATATATATATATATATATATATATATATATATATATATATATATATTCTTTTAAATTGAAGTTTATTGAGTTTCATAGTAACCAAGTAATAGGGTACAGAAGTAAAAAAAAAAAGGGTACACAGGATTGCATGAGTACATCACGGGAGTCATCATACATTTCAAATTTAAAAAAAAGCATTCATACTGCTGGAAAACATTAGAATATGCATGCATTAGACTAATACATATCCACCTCTATTGTTTGGGCACGATGTCATCTGTAGGTTATCCATCCGGTCCTACCTTAAGCTTCAGTATGCAGCTCAACTACTCTCATGGGGTCGCCTTCGACCTAAGCAAAGGTGAACCTCCGTGATACAAACTAATAGCTAAGTCCTAGTTAGAGTCCCTTGTTCTAGTTCTTGTGTGGTGAGTTGCACTGAGGTGTAGCCTCTATGCCCCAGAACATTGGGGGCCTGGATATTATATCTTGTTGTCCTGTCATCCACCCAGTCAGCTTCACTATTGGCCCAGCTTACTTTCGGTTAATGCCTTTGCGTGTACATCAGAGGTAGTCCCCCTTATCTTGTGGCTAATCGGATTGCCGATTCATTGTATTACATCCCGTAGTGCAAAGGAAAACAAAGTAACTTAATTGAAGGAAAGGAAAGGAAAAAATAAAAAAAGAACATGGAAATAAGGTACAGTCCTACACATTCCGTTGATAGTGTTACTGTGACAGCACAACATTTCAGTAAATCAATAGTTTAGTCGGTCTTGGGCTGGGGGTTGCATTGTCCCCCCTGCCCGTGTCCCCCCATTTTTCAGTGTCAATTCTGCTCTAGGGTGGGCATCGGATTTGCCAGCTCTCCCAGATCTTTGTGATTTTTTTGCTCTTGTGTCGGAGAGGTCACGGACATACGCTCATATGCAAAATTGAGTTGTATCTTGTCAATCAGCATTTGCCTGGTCGGACTTACCACCGACTTCCAATTTAAGGCTATTAGGGCTCTGGCTTGTAACGCAACCTGGGACAGCAGTGCTCTATTGTAAAAGTGAATTGCGCAGGGAATTCCAGCCATAGAAAGGCCCCGTAAGTTAAGGATGTCTCAAGTCCTAATTTTCGAGTCAGAGTGTGCACTACTTCCTATAGTGGCCTGATGTTATTACACTGCCACCAGATGTGGAGCATGGTGCCCTTATCTCTTCAGCACCTCCCGCACATTCCTGACACAGTCGTATACATGTGGCTAAGCCTATCCGGGGTCAAGTACCAGAGGTATATCAGCATTCTATGGGCTTCAAAGTGGGAGAAACAGGTGGTCATGCCTTTGAGGGCATTTAGCATCCTGATCCATTGGTCCATCAAAATTCTGTGCCCAGTCTCCCTTTCCTATTGAGCCATAAATGTAGGTTGAATTGTGACAGGGTTGTCAAAGTGCGATTTGTAGCAAAGTGAAAGGAGTTTGGGTTTTAGGGGTTTGTCCCAGCTTGTGGCAATTAAGTTATTAACTCCCATGGCCTCCCTTGTCTCACCTGCTGTAGTGTAATCTACATGGTCCATAAGGACACTTTTGATTTGCAGGTACAAAAATGTGAATTTGGAGGGCAGGCTATAAGCCTGTTGCAGTTCTGCAAATGGTATCACCGAGCCACCTGATATAAATTGAGATATCCTGGTAATTCCATGTGCCCTCCACTGCTTTAAAGATAGCCACGGAGAAACCGTGGATAGTGCCCCTAAAGGACTCAATTTATGATATTTTGTGGTGCTCTTCCGAGCTTGTAGCAAACCATTCCATGCTGATATTGATGCTATCATGGTGGGGAACAGTGGTGGGCTTGTGCCAGCAGTGATGCGGGAATCCACATGTACGCCAGTAGCCTCTCAACCGGGAATTGTTGCCTTTCTAAGTCTATCCGGTTAAACGTTCCCCTGGGACCATGTCAATTTATGGCATGTGTTAGCAGCACTGCCCTGTGGTAAGCCCAGACCTGGGGAACCCCCATACCCCCCACCTCTGAAGGTCTCTGTAGACATCTGCCCGCTATTCTAGCTTTCTTTTTCACACAGAAAAATTCTGAAAAAACTCTTAGCATTTTGTGGCAGAAGTTTTTGGTTACCTGAATGGGAAGCATTCTGAATACATACAGTAGTTTAACTAGTGACATCATCTTTACAACGTTTATGTGCCCTGCCCAGGATAGTTTTACATCCTTCCATGAATCCAACTCTTGCTTTATTGCGTTAAATATTCTTGTATGGTTATGTTGAAACAGGGTTTGGGCCGTTTTAGTGACCCTGATTCCCAGGTATGCCACATATTCCTCTCTTCAGTCAAACCGGCAGCTAACATGTTATGGGGGTATCTTAGACATTTTGAGCTAGTATGCAAGGCAAACGGATATGCGGATATTGTCGAGGCTATATTGCTATATTGTTTTTTTTGTTGTTGTTGTTGTTTTTTCCCCTTTTTTTTAACCTTTTTTTTTACTTTTTGTTTTGTCCTTCCAACTTAGTATCTTAAATGTGTCTCCCCCCTCCCCCCAACATACTTGCCTTCCTGTAAACCTTAAGAAACCATAGGGAGGGTAAGAGGGGGTACAATACATAATAACATGATATATCCCCTTTGGTACCTCTCCTGGAACATTATGATGTCAGGTACACCACCTCACGAGGAGATTGGGTATCCCATGCATACTTATTGTAGGTGGGTTAGCTGTAGTGATGTACCGAACGGTTCGCCGGCGAACGGTTCCTGGCGAACATAGCATGTTCGCGTTCGCCACGGCGTGCGAACATATGCGCGGTTCGACCCGCCCCCTATTCGTCATCATTGAGTAAACTTTGACCCTGTACCTCACAGTCAGCAGACACATTCCAGCCAATTAGCAGCACAGCCTCCCTAGCAGACCCTCCCACCTACTGGACAGCATCCATTTTAGATTCATTCTCAAGCTGCATGCTTAGTAAGAGGAGGGAAAGTGTAGCTGCTGTTCATAAGATAGGGAAAAGCATAGCTAGGTTAGGGATAAGGGTATGCTTTTTTTGGATTTTTTTTTTCTATGTAATGTAAATGCACTTAGTTGTCTGCCACTGCTGCCAGCTTCTGTGTCAGGCTCACAGTGCCCATTTCCCCAGTCAGTGCCACCAATTACATCTGGTGTCACAATAGCTTGGATTTAAAAACAAAAAACTTTTTTCACTGTTATAGATTGAATAGCAGTCAGTTGTCTGCCACTGCTGCCAGCTTCTGTGTCAGGCTCACAGTGCATACTGTGCCCATTTCCCCAGTCAGTGCCACCGGT